ACTCATGGGCCTCGAAACTCCTTCTATATCAGTGGCTAGATCCGTTTGAAGTTGATGCTGTCAGGAGGCCCGAATCCGAATACAAAACGTGTACAACTTGATCTCTTGTCTTCTATGGGCCAAAAGTGACGTGGTGAGGTAGAAGTAGACTTGGAGAAGTTCTTGGTTTGGTCCCCAATCAACTTCTTTAATCATCCATACATTAGTTACGCTCGGTCTCTTTTCCTTCGCCCAAGTAAGTACCTCTGCAAACGAAAACACACAAAACTCATTGTGTAGCAACATTTGTTCAAATATATAACAAGTAAATCTAATGTAGAACATATGCACCTTTATTTCATTAATACATAAGGTATTCATGGTTATATCTGAGCTAGTTATGTCCTCATCATCCTCCCCTTCTTGATTGGAAACCGTCCTTGGTTTCACCTTCTCATGGAGCGTATTGAACTCATCTTTATCTATCACAATATCGGGTGAGGAACATTTCTTGATAACCATATGATTGGATCCTAAAATCTTTGTAGTCGAAAAATCACAACACTCCCCTTCTTGCAAACCAACCTGTAACTCATTTAAACAACTACAGGAACTAGATAGATAATTACTTATACGCATGCGGTCCCCTAGACAATGCATATCATGAAAAGGAGGTATAGTCAAATTCGAACAAATATATACTCGATGCACATTATATTCTCCTTTACTATAATAATTGCCAATAACATGAAAAATCACATCAGAAGGACATGGCAATTCAAATCTAGCAAATAATTTCTTCTCTAAGCAGTAGAGTGGACAAAGATCATCAAATTGAATATAACCCCAAGTATTTAAAGAAGATAGCAATTTAAGCTCTTCATTCTCGCTAGAAATGTGAATAACATGTTTAAACTCAACACATAGTGGCTCTACTTTAGAACTAACATGTTCATTCACTAGTTGTGGCATGGATATAAGTGAAGCATCGCACAACTCTTCTTTATCACACGAAACATCAAGCAAATTGTTTTGTGACAAAGGTATTTCAACAATCGGTTCCACTATGGGTTGCTCTAACGTAGCATAAGTAGTGGACATAGTTAGCACATCATAAATATGCATACCTTGAGTAGCTGTAGCACCATTATCATTACCTTTTTTCTCATCTTCAGAAATTATCAGTGCTTGGTCAATTGAACATTCTTCAAGCATGCATGGAGCTATAGATAAGTCTTTTTTCCTCTTCATCTTTCTTCTCTTTCTCATTACCTTGGTTATTCTCAGATGCCTGCAAAATATTAGTATCCAAAACAATAGGCACAACATTACATTCGTTTTGTAATAACTCAGACTTAGTTGAAGGCTTCACAATATTAGTATTATTCCTGGTATCTCTGAAAATCTCATCGATTCTATTATTTGTCCTTTCTTCGATTCCATTCTTCATACTTTCAAGATTATCTTCGAAAATTTCAGAAAAACTCATTGGTTCCAATTTCATTTTTTGACCATTATGTCTAAATGTGTACGTATTAGCAACAAAATTATGCAAACCACTAATATCATATACCCATGGTTGACCAAACAACAAAGAATATGCTTGCATAGGGACAAGATCAAAATTGGCAGTATCATGGTAATTTCCAATCGAAAAGTTTATTCTCACAATTCTATTTACCTTGAACTTACCACAAGAGTTGAACCATTTGATGTAATATGGATGAGGATGCGGTTGTGTAGGCAACTCAAGTTTCTCAACCAAATCTGAACTCACCAAGTTATTGCAACTCTCACTATCGATTACAGTACAACATGCTCTATCCTTAACCACAAACTTTGTTTCAAATAATTCGTGGTACTGCCATTGCTCCGCTTTCTCCAGTTGAGAACTTAGCACTTGTTGCACCAAAGTACTATCATCACGTGCACCTTGTTGGTATCACTGATTTTGAGCGCCACTCATACATATCATTGCAAACACAAAAACAACAACAAACAATGAAGGTTATCCCTAATAATCTGCTACGTGGTGTAGTGATGCCCCTCAACAACTCAGCCAAATAGAGCACCTTACCAAGCTCTTACAAGTGTCTTACCAGCAATGCTAAGGATGGTACAACCAGTGGCTAGTTTGTGACACCTTGAAGAACGTGATGTGGCGATTGTAAGGATCAAAGCGGTGCTGACCAGAAGAATATATATGGAGCTTGGGAGGCACAATATATAGTAGCAAAGGAACGCAATTATACTAATCAGAAAATGCAAAGTTGAATAATAGTTCAAAGTACTAGTCAATGTGCTGGCCTAGTCTAGACTCAACTCTAGCTCAAGCAAGCACCCGACAACACTAAGGACTATATATGAATCAATGCACAACTCTGCACTCTGAAAACATACTCCAAGGATGAATGGTTTTTTTTTCTTTCTTGGTGCGGCTTTTTTTAAGCACATTTATGCCTTTTTTTTTCTTTTTTAGGTGCGGCTTTTTTTTTCTTTTTTTTTCTTTGCACCTTTCTGTCTTTTCTTTTTTTATTTTTTTACTTTTTTTCAACAAGAATTGAACCACTGACCTCGAAGAAGGACTCAAATGTAAATATAAATATTACAGGGGTCTCAAATGCAAAGTGTAAAACTAAAATTAGATCACCTCAAAAATGGAATGCTCACATCATGTAGGTTCCATTTTTGTAAAAATATCTCAAATCTACAACCACCAAAATACCAAACAATGTGATAAAGGTGGTCAGTCGTGAGGGGGAGGTGGTAGTTGCAGATGGGGAGGGGTACGGCCAAAGGGAAATTCGGCAAAAGCGCAAACCCTAGCCGCAACTCCAAACTTGACCGACAAAAAACTTCTCAAAAGTATAAAAACGGAATCTCGATGACGAGACGATTCAATTTTTCAAGGTCCCGGCAACAACCGACGAAATACAAAACTGGACCCAAAACTGACGTACAACTCATAGACGAACCCTACACCTAAGTGAAAGTGATGAACAGATGCAATACTCAAAACTAAAAATTAAATCTAAAACTAAACCAGCACTCGATACGACGATGCAATCTATAATTCAACAACGCAAAATCTAATAGAACAATGCAACGGCTCAAATTGTCTAGGTAAAGAATAAATATTTTTGTGTGGCAATTTTCTGGTTACGGGAAGATAAATTACCTAACGGGCAACCACGCTCTGGTACCAACTGATGAGGGTGTTAGGTCCCGATCTTCCGATAGCTATTGATAAACAGTCGATTTGGGCGGAATCGCAACATAACTCGATCCGGCTTCTGAACAAACATGCTACTGAGTCCCGCAATCGCAGCACCACGTCTCCTCTGGTTATCAACCATGCCGAAACCCGGTTGACCTCGCCGAGAAGGCTAATCCCTGCATGCGAATCGAAGAACACAAGCAAGAACAAGATAGATTGCAACCAAATTGCATATGGATGATTAAACACTCGAATTTGGGGTTCCACAAACCGATGTAGCGGCGAAACTATTCCTAACAGATTAATCTAAGCAAAACCCGACTCTAAACGATGACAGCTACTGATTTAATATGATTAGGGACGTACTAGGGTTGTCCTAGGGCGCACACCTCCTTGGGCTAAGCCCACGACACAGTTACAAGGCCCAACACCCAAATCAGATTCGGACTGGATGAGGTACGTGGCTTGTTTTGCAGATTCCCGGCAGTTTTGGTAGGAATTTTGACATGGGACCAAAACCATCTGAAAGTAGACTCCATAAGTTTTTCAACAAGTACTCATGGGCCTCGAAACTCCTTCTATATCAGTGGCTAGGTCCGTTTGAAGTTGATGCTGTCAGGAGGCCCGAATCCGAATACAAAACGTGTACAACTTGATTTCTTGTCTTCTATGGGCCAAAAGTGACGTGGTGAGGTAGAAGTAGACTTGGAGAAGTTCTTGGTTTGGTCCCTAATCAACTTCTTTAATCATTCATGCATTAGTTACGCTCGGTCTCTTTTCCTTCGCCCAAGCAAATACCTCTGCAAACGAAAACACACAAAACTCACTGTGTAGCAACCTTTGTTCAAATATATAACAAGTAAATCTAATGTAGAACATATGCACCTTTATTTGATTAATACATAAGGTATTCATGGTTATATCCGAGCTAGTTATGTCCTCATCAATGTTTATCTTTTTTTTATTTCATTCAAAACGGATTGTATCCATTAGTTGAAAAATTTGAAAGATTTCTCTCTTGAAAGATCAATAAGTAGTCCCTTAAGTATTAGCTTAAAATAATTTAAAAGTAGTTAATATTATTTTTGAAAGCAACTTTTCTATTTTATTCTAAAAAAATCATTTAGCATTTTGAGAAGCATGTACAAAGAAAACGAGGGACTATAAGTTTGAAACTCTCACTCCGAATGGCACATGTTCTGAAAGAAACACTGGTAAAAGCTTTGCTGAATTGATTTTAACAGGGGGATGGTACATTTGGTGGGAAAGAAGACAAGTAGTGAATGGTGAAAGGATTCAGATGGCTGCTAGATCTATTGTTGCTCTAACACTAAATTATAAGATGGCGAAGAAAAAGTCGGATGCAAAACCATGGGAAGGATAGCATAAACCTCCTGAAGGAATTCTCGTATACATAGATGCTTCCTTTGACATCGTCTCGAGTACAGGAGGAACCAGAGCTGTCAACGAGATTCACAAGGGAATTTTTTAGCTAGTTCTTGTAGGTACTTGTCTCATGTTGCTGATGCAGCAATGGCAGAAGCCTACGTCCTCAGGGATGGACTCATCCTCGCCCAGCAGATTGGTTGTCAAGATACTACCTCCATCACAAAATGTCTGACGCCGTTGATTTTTTTAAAAATGTTTGACCGTTCGTCTTATTTAAAAAATTTAAGTAATTGTTAATTCTTTTTCTATCATTTGATTTATTGTTAAATATACTTTTATGTATACATATAGTTTTACACATATCACAAAAGTTTTTTTTAATAAAACGAACGGTCAAACATATTTAAAAAAGTCAACGGTGTCAAATATTTAGGGAATGAGGGAGTACTATTTACTCAATCAGATTGTTTGCAGGTGGTGGAGACGATGCAAGATGGAGGTTTTTAAGCAACTACGGCAGCGGCAATTTTATATGAATGCCAGATTTTGATATATGATTTTGTTAAAGTCTCTGTTGAGCATTGTAATAGGGAAGCAAATTGTGTGGCACATGTTGTAGGCTTGTAGCTAATTATACTTTTAAGTTTAAGAATTCTTATAATTGGATTGATGAGACTCCAATTTTCTAGCTGAACATTATAGTGAACGATGTAATTATGTTTGCAGATTAATAAAGCGTGCCAAATTGCTTAAAAAAAACACTAGTAAAAGCTTCTAGACCTGAACGGGGCTTGTTTTTAAAAATAATATTCAAGAAATAAAAAACAAAAACAATTTGACTCAGATATTTACTTCAGAAAATCACGCGTTTGCACTTTTATACCAGTGCGACTAGTTTCAAACTTCGAATTCCACCTACTCCCCAAAGTCTCGCCAGTCGCCTCGCCACCCGAACGTTGGCAGCCACGCAGCACCAGCGGCCTCCTCGCTCTCCTCGCCGACCACACCGCAAACACCTGGCGAGCGCCACCACCTAGACGCCGCTGCCGCCGCCGCCTCCCACACTTGGCGGCCATGTCGCGGCGCAGGGCGGCCGCTGTGGCGGCGGCGGCGCGGGAGGAGGAGGAGGCGTCGCCCGCTCAGCGTCTCGTGGAGGCTGCCCTACGGGGGGACGTGGTGACCATGGAGGCGTGCCTGGCGGCCGCCGCCGCCGCTGCCGCAGCGGACGACGACACGGACGATGGCGTGCCCGCGGCGAGCCGCGTCGGGGTGGCGCGCCTGCGGGTGAGGTGCGCTGAGGTGGCCCTCCGCGAGGAGGCGGCCGGGGAGGTGATCGTGGAGTCCCGCGAGCTCAAGACCGACGTCTCGCCGCTCTTCGCCGCCGCGCACGCCGGTCATGCCGAAGTTGTTCGCACCCTCCTGGTAAGGATCGTAACCAAATTTTCGTCAACAGACTGGTCATTTCTCTCACTTTCCAAGATTTGAATCCCCTCGCATTCAATCTCCAAGGGTTTAATCATCTGACCAAATATTTTTAGAGCGAAATAATTTGTGCGCATTGTCTGTCATGACAAAATTTTCAAATTTGTTCAGTAGGTACGTTCGGAGGGAATTCTGAATAAATTGGAAGTAATGATTAGTAAAAAAACATTCTGGATGACTTGTACCCTTTCATAGTAATCCAAAATAAATTCGCACAAATTATGAATGAGTGTTTTCTGATCTAAATTATTAAGAATAAACTAAAACCATTCAAACGAATGGCTGTTGCAGATCCCCTTCTTTTCCTGTTAAAATTATTACTGTAGTGGAGAGATTTATCAGTCTATTCTAATGGTGGTTTATAGAATATTAGCAGGTTTGCCAATGCATATCACTGAATTGAGTTAGGATTAGGGACATGGGTAATCTTGTTACACCTTTTGGTATGGTGTGATGGCAACTGCTCTCCCTTCTGGAATGGGATGGATAATCTTCTTCGGTTGTTTTCAAGACAAGAATGTGATGGCTTCGGTTCCACTTTGAAACTTCTATATCACTTATTAATTTGACTAGCATGTACTCCTTGGCTAAAACTCTGCAGTGCCTAATGAAAAATGTTTTTCTCATCACAAGCTATGTTGTTTTATGAGTTTTTTCATGTTGGTGGTGTTCCGATGCTCAAATCTTTCCTAGTGCCCCCACTATACAAGTGCCTGAAGTGGACTTCAAACCTTTGATGTGATACAAAACAGATGGGATTCCTTGGACCTGTTCTGTGAAGCCCCTTACAAAGTTAGGTAGATTAGTAGTTGCATTCAACAGTGTCCTTGAGAAGATGGCAGATCTTGCTATTGACTTACCACAGGTCCAATGCCCACAAGAGATACATCACAACTCACCTTGAGCACATTCTCGAAATTTGGAAATTGGGAAGCTAAGCAATTTCTCAGTAGTATATTTTCCAAGCTTTGCTATATATAAATTATCAGATTTTACTGTTGTTAACTCTAAGCTGATTTTACTGAGAAAGTGGGCCCAATTTTTAGAGGGAAATATTTTTTGTTATCCATGTGCTTTAATATTATAGATGATAATGTTCTAAAAAGGTAGTAAGCGGAGTCCCGTGTGGTCACCTCACCTCGTAGAGCTCATGGGGAAGGTAGCCATGTAAGCGGTTTTAAGGCTTTCTTATTTGGCATATGAAGTATAATAGTAGATATATTTTTTACACGTATATTGAACATGCATGTATATTTTATACGCTAATACAGGAACCGCACAATAAGATATGTATCAGGTGCACGGTTCCGTTTGATATAGTTGATGGATGATGGCTAAACCTGAGTTTATGACAATTATTCCAGCGCACAAATGAATGAATTGAATATTAAAATGTTCATCTAAAAAAAGTTTTCTAAGAAATGCTGGTAAAGAAAAACTTTTAAGAAAACGTACCATTAATTAAGAACTTGGGAAAACCTTCACATGATAAGCCAAAAAAAGGGACCTAAGTTTGCAATGAGATTTTATACTAGAGCGAGATAGCTAGCATACTATAGGAATGTCAAACCTGGCAATTTTAAGCGGCCTTCTAATAGAGATAAATAGCTGGAATATTTCTAACTACAGTAGCTTTAATTTTAAGGCTGATTATTAGAGTGGAGGTGGTGGAAAGGTGGCTGGTGTATCAAGTTGTAAAAAAGTATACTGCTCGGTATTTGAGGTACAGAAATAGCTAGGTTCAGTGTAGAGGTTTAACGAGGTCGCACTGAGGACATAATGCTGATATTGTCTCGTACTCTCGTTGTCTTGATTTAGGTTCATCAGTCCATAAATGGCATCGTTAGAAGCCACATGCACCATTAGATTCTTTCATATAATACAGATATTCGATTGTTTCCTGCATATATATTGGAGCCGTATTAGTATCTAGATATATGTGACATAGACATGCCTAAAGACAGGTTTATCAGGTTAACAGACCTAGCCAGTCAGTCAGTTCTAAACAGTTATGAGAAGTGTCATGATGAAAATATTGCATAGTGCTAACTAGAGTTGGTTTGTTCAAACTATCTGATAACATTACAATTGCTTTCTCACGAAAATTATGACGAAAAACTGATCGAATGATGTATAGGCCGGCACGAGTGAGCCATAAGGAGATAAGATCTAGAAGACGAAAAGAAGACGCTTGTGCTTAACAGGACAGCCGGGAATTATTCAGTATCTTAGTAAATATATTGTATTATGAATTATGTATACTCTAAAATTGTGTTCATGGAGTAATTGACTTGATATTTGAATACAGGTTGCTGGAGCTGATGTTAATCAAAAGTTATTTCTAGGCTATGCAACAACAGCTGCCGCACGTGAAGGAAACATCCATATTCTAGAGATGCTTCTGCAGGCTGGAGTCACTCGGGAAGCTTGTGAAGATTCCCTATCAGAGGCTGCTCTTTTTGCTGAGGCTGAAGCCGTTCGGCTATTAGTCTGTTCAGAGATGATACAGCCTGAAGCTGCAGCACATGCTTTGGTGACTGCTTCTTCAAGAGGCTTTGATGATGTTGTGGTCATACTACTGCAGGTCTGATCAAATGATATCAGTTATATACAGCCAGTTACAAAGATAACATTTTCTTGTGTATATATATATGTGTGTGTTTACTGGTTCACTTTCATTTTGTCAGAATGGGGTTGACGTTAATTCCATGGCTAGGGTCCTCTTGAGGTCTGTTAAGCCTGCACTACATGCTAATGTGAATTGCACTCCACTGGTGGCAGCAGTAATGAGCCGGCAAATTTCAACTGTGAAACTCTTGATTGAGGTATCTGCAATAACTGAATATCTTTTAAGCGTTCTTATTAGTCTAGGTACAGAGATGGATGTAGTACTCTGTTCACAATGCTTAGTTGTGCATTGCCATTCCTACTTAACTCACTGTTTTTATTTGAAGAAAAACTCATTATCTAATAATACCCATTTTTTTTTATTTGCAACAATTCCAACCATTTCTGTAGATTCAAGGCAGCCATATATATGACAAGTGGGGATGCATTATGTCTGGATGATTTTTGTTTCTCCGACTACTTTCCCATTAAGTTTATGTTCTGTATGCCAAGCAATCCAAATTTGTTTCCACTCCAGTATGCTAAACGCACTGGCCGTCCCTTTTTCAGTAAACGAAATTTTAGGCAGTCTAATTTTCCACATTATTTATGAGTACTATGCTAATTTAGAATGTTTCCACATTCTTAGAATGATACTTGTATCAAAATTTGTGTGCAGGAAGGCTCTTACTTGGACTGTCTTGTGCAAGTTGGTTCTTGGTGTTGGGACTCTGCAACGGGTGAAGAACTTCGTGTTGGTGCATGCCTTGGGGAAAAATACAACGCCATTTGGTGTGCAGTAGAGTACTACGAATGCAGTGGTGAAATCCTCAAATTGCTGCTCGATAAAGCACCATGGTTGCTGGAAACCCCACGCAAGGGTCGAAATCTTCTTTGCCATGCCATACTCTGTCAGAACCCGAATGCAGTAAGCGTGCTTCTAAATGCTGGTGCCAATCCCAGATTTCCCATAATGATGACAAACGGCACACACGTCTCCTACCCAATACATTTTGCTGCAAGGTTGGGTCATGCGCCCGTACTGAAACAACTCATGTTGGATGGGGCTAATATCAATGCGCAGACTTCTACTGGGGACACTCCTCTGATGGTCTCTGCGAGGTGTGGACACTCCGATTGCTTTCTTGAACTGATCAAATCAGGGGCAGACCTTGGGATAGTGAACAATGCAGGTGACACAGCAATAATGCTTGCTAAGAAAAGCTCATTTAGCTCAACCATCATCGACATTCTTTCCAGAGCATTGAGTTGCGGAGGCTGCATCACTTCATCGGATATCACCGTCTTCTCTCCGCTGCACTTCTTCGCTGCAAGTGACAGTGCAGAAGCTCTTCTAATGACGCTACACTACTCAGCAGCAGATCTGAACAGGCCTGATGGTTCAGGGCTCACTCCTGTTATGGTTGCTGCAGAGTCAGGCCATGCTGACATTTTCAGGCTTCTAGTGATGGCGGGGGCAGATATCGCTGCCACGAGTGCCGAAGGGAAATCCGCGATGTCGATCATCCGAAGCAGAGCTCCTGAAACCAGAGATCGGTTCGAACAGATCTTACTCCAGGCTTCGCTCGCGGATGCGATCGCAGGCCAGCAGCCATCTTTCAGACCCCTGCACTACGCGGCCCGGATCGGCGACACCTCCTCCCTGACGCAGCTCCTGAAGATGGGCCACGATCCCAACGCGATGGACGAGGATGGCTACACGCCGCTGATGCACGCGGCCGCCGCAGGCAAGCTGGAGGCGTGCAGGGCGCTGGTGTCGCGCGGCGGCGCCGCCGACGCGGGGAGCGAGACGGCGCTGTCGGTGGCGAGGAGGAGCGGCAGGTCGAACAAGGCGACGGAGGAGTGGCTGCTGGACCACGTGGCGCGCGCCCACGTGCTCGCCGGGGAGGAGCTGACGAAGCACACGCGCGGGGGCCGGGGTCCGCCGCACCGCAAGGCGGTGCGGATGATGCGGTCCGGCGTGCTGACGTGGGGGGCGACCCGCCGGAGGAACGTGGCCTGCAGGGAGGCCCGGGCGGGGCCCAGCGCGGCGTTCAGGAGGAACAGGAGGATCATCAGGACGGGCAGCGAGGAGCAGCTGATCCTAATGGTGGAGACGGTGACCGGGAGGGAGATCCACTTCGAGGCCACCTCCGCGTCCAGCGTCGAGCTATGGGTCAGAGGCATCAATCTCATCGTGCAAGACTGCGCGTGGTCAAGGCCGGATGAAGCTGAGCAAGCATAGTCATATCACTCGTATCCATAATGGAGGAGACTGCCCACTGTCTGCAAGACGCCTTGCAATTATTTCATATTGTAAGTATGCATTTTGCTCTCTAAGTTAATATGTTTACTATCTTGTTTAGCGCTTGTAAATTAACTATTTATTAGCTGTTTGTACAAAGGACGTATTTATAATGCCCCCCTTGGCGTGTTTTGAGTCCAGAGGTTCAGGTTTGAGGTGGGGAGCCTTGAAATGAGAATGGCTTTTTTTTTTTTTTACATGTAATGACCTTAAATTATATTTGTGAATGTATATACACGTTATTTTTTCTGCTCCTGTGTTATTTTGTAGTCTTCATTCCGGTGCTCGTGTGCTATCATGATATAATATGAGAGATTTAAATTTACATATTATATCATTCATCTTACATACACTGTATCTTATACGTATCCGTATAGTTCATCCATTCATTAAATAAATCCAACATCCCAAAATCACCAAATCCAACAATTCAGCCATGTTTTTTCTCGGCCTCCCCTCCTCACTCCCATATCTTCTCTAGCAGTAACCATTGCACCAACCCGGAAACCACGTCACCCCACCCTCCACCATGCCGCCATCATGCCTCCTCACAAATCTGTCTCCACCTTGCTGCCCGCCGCTCTCTACTATGCTGCCATCGCTGCTCCTCGCAGACTACCACCCCCCACCTCTCCACTATGACGCCATCACAGGGTCACCCAGGTAGAAAATCACGCACGTGCTCATCACTCAGTTTCGATCTACACATACGCAAATCAATCTCCTACACCTTTTCCTTCACACGTCCTCTTTTGCCAACCACCAACCTCGCTACATGACGCCGTGGCCCCATCACGTCAGCCCACTCACCCTTGCAGATCGGCTCCCCGCTCCTTCCTCATCGCACAAGCCTCCCGCCTGTCTCCTCCTTCTCACTCTTAGGTGCCACCCCGGACCGTCTTGTCTCTACGGCATCCCACATCGTCTTTAGTTTATACTAACATTATTTTCTGATGTCAAATCCTAATATTTTTTATTAATTATTACCTCCATCCCAGAATAATTACATTTCAAGAAGATTAGAGATAAATTAGCAACATACACAAATTATGAGCTTATTTTATGACCACATTGCATATGTGAAAGTGCTTTAACATACTAACATTATTTTCTGAATCCTAATATTTTTTATTAACTACCTCCATCCCAGAACAGTTACATTTCTAGAAGATTAGAGGCGGATTAGCAGCATACACAAATTATCAGAATATAACCTTATTTTATGACCACACTGCATGCATACATATGAGGTGCCAGTTTGATTAGAAGGAAGGCTATTTGATAGGGATGAAAAGATGGGAGACTAGAAGGCACTATATCTTCATCTAATTAGTTTGTTAGGTCTCACACCTCATTAGAAATACGATGAATATTCATTAGTACAGAAATAGCTAAAAGTGTCGGTTTTTTCAACCGGTACACATTAGTCGGCACCTCTGAGGTTCCATGAACAAAGAAAAAACGACTCAATGCATCGGCCCGATTCGAGCCGATCTATCGAGCAGCTCCACTTCATCTCGACAAGATCAAAGAATACATACAAGATTAAAGCACACATCAACACATAAACATCAACAACATCGATGAACATTAAAAAGATTAACATCAAGAAGACGATGGCAGCCGACATCCTTCTCCACCCTTGCCATCGTTGCAACATGGTGAGGGCGCAGCCGCCGTCGCCAAGGTGCACCGTCTCCCCTCCCGCTGGAGCTGGCGGAGGGGAGAGTGCGGGCGCCGCCGCCGCCGTCACTGGAGACCACTGTGGCCTCCCCTCCTGTTGGATCTAATAGAGGGGAGGGCACAACCACTGCCGCTGCCATCACCGTGGTCCGCCGCTTCCCCTCCCACCGAATCTGGTGGAGGGGAGGGCACGGCTGCCGCCACCGTCATCACCAGAGGCCGCCGTCGCCTCCCATCCCGCTACCCCCCTCAAGCTGGATCTGGCGAAGGGGAGGGTGAGGCCGCCACCGCTAGCACCTCCTTGGGCCGCCGCCGTGACAGAGAAAAGCGAGAGAGGTGAGAGAGAGAGACAAGAGAGAGATAAAGACGTGTGGAATGGATAAGGCCGATGCTTAGCTCACCAGTTCGGCTCAGTTGGGTGTAGGTGTCGGTTTTTTTAAAAAAACCAACTCCTATAATTTATGAATTTATGAATGTTGTTTGTTTGTAATTAACTGACACCTATATTAAAGGTGTCGGTTTTTTAAAAACCAGCACCTATGGTTTGTTTAAATGTGCCGGTTTTATGTGTTTTTAGTCCGCGGAGGAGGAAAAGGCATTACAGGTGGTTTTAGCTGTTCCGGCACCTATAGTACCGATTATAGGGTATAAAATAGCACAATTGTTCTGTATGAATGTATGCAATATCTTAATTAGTCTCTCTCGATAGCCTACGATAAAAAAAAAGGAAAACAACTTTTTTGAAGATGGAGATCCCATAATTCCTCGACAAGCTACGTACCCAGCCAATAGGAGGGCTACACAGTAGGGGTGAAAACAGAGCGAATACGGACGGATAATGCTCTTACCGTATCCGTTTTCATATTGTTAGGCGGATACGGAAACGAATACGAATAACTCGGATACAGAAATGAATACGAATTATCGCGGATACGAATAAGGATCGAATATGATCGGACACGAATACGAAAACGAATATTTCTCGGAATATAGAGACCACTCAAACTGCTCGTAGATACAAATGCACCACATATATTTATCTAATTTAATATAAATATCATCGTTGTAGGACGCATCACAGATTAAACAAAGTGTATCGTGTTCAAATCGAAACACGTTGAAAAGTTCAACACATATTGAGTTCGAGTTCTATAGGTAACACAGATAAGATCAAAATAGTAATCAGCCCAAAGCAATTTTCAGTACACTTGCAGTCCGATGAATGAAAATTGCAACATCATTATTCATCCATTTCATCCATCAGAACATCATCCTGTTCCATGTCATCATTATTCTCCTCTTTTTCCTACAGGAGTCGAATAATATTATTGTTATATTAAGAAAAATATTCATAGAGGTAAAATAAGAAAATAGCTCACCACTATCAATAAGTTTGCCAGATGCCTCTCTACGCTTTCAATGTCCAACTCATTGATGATAGCCTGAGTCTTATAACCTAAGAATGATGCCAGATCAGATCATGGATCAGCTATACATATATTGATATATACAAGAAGGAATGGCCAAATAAGCAATGAACACAGACACAAAGTGTACCATTGTTAGCTGCTTTAATCCAATCTTTGGTGCAAACTAAAGCTTGCACAGCCTCTGGATCAAGACGGGTGCGAAATGGATCAACAACACGGCCACCAGCACTAAATGCCGACTCAGAAGCAACAGTTGACACTTGAATACATAAGAAATCACGAGCAAGTTTGCAGAGGATAGGAAATTCTGCTTGTTTGAGCTTCCACCAAGACAAAATATCAAATGGATCTTTGGAAGTCCATAGTAACAGTGGTTGTTCCATGTAAATTTGTAACTCGGTTTTATCACTACAAATTGGCTGACTTCTCTCAAGCAAAAATCTTTGAAAATGTTGCTCATGATCATGGCTACTGTCATTCTCATTAAAGATATCATCAAACTCATCAGTATTATGAACAGGATCAGATTGAATTTGAAGTTGATGCACATGCATTTCAGCACCTTTCTTCTTTGATGTTGCACACGCACTAGTAGCATAAACATCAAACAATTTTTTGATAACCCCATTGAACTCATCAAATTTTTTTGCAGCTTCTAAACCATAAATCTTCATACCATAGTACTCTATTGAACTTGTTTTGTAACGTGGATCAAGGAAGCATGCAACAGCAAGAGCCATATTCGACTTCTCCCAGTACTTATCATATTTAGTTTGCATGGCGTTTGCCATGGTTTTTATTGTTCCATCTGTACTGTTACACCAATCAACAATATAAAGCTTGATGGAACAAAACTTACCGAAAAAATGATTTGCTGTTGGATATGTAGTACCAGAGAATAGTTCAGTTGCTTCATGAAATGGCTTCAAGCACTTGCATAGTGCTATTGCCATAGACCAGTCTACCTTGGTGGGAGCACACTTTGCATACTTTCTACCATGCCGAAGAAACAACCTATCAAAAGCATTTCTGTAGTAGATAGCATTCTTCAACATGAGAAATGTGGAGTTCCATCTTGTAGGAGTATCCATGGAAAGGCCCTTTGTGTTATCCAAACTAACTTCCAAGGCACACTTCTGAAATGCCTCAAACTGCAGTGGCGAGTGCTTTAGAATTGAAATAGTATTTCTGATCTTTAATACAGCTCCTGTGATTTGTTTCAGACCATCTTGTGCAACAAGGTTCAAGATATGATTGAAACATCTCACATGAAAGAAGATGCCATCGCAAATTAAAGGAGAGATTTTACGGAGTTTTAAAATAACACCCTTAACACAAACATCATTAGACGATGCATTGTCCAAAGTAAGTCCAACAAGCCTTCTATCAAGATTCCAATCAACTATGTTGTCATAAAACTCTTTGCACATATTACTTCCTGAATGATGTCCTTCTACATGCATAAACTTAATGATCCTCTTTTGCATGTTCCAAGTGTCCTCTATCCAATGAACTGTGATGCACATATAACTTTTATTTTGGTTAGATGTCCACATGTCCATGGTTGTGCTAAAACGGCATGAGAGTGTAAGCAAATGCTGCCACAATTTCTTCTTTTCCTCTTCATATATGTTTAGAATATCCTTTCTCACAGTAATGCGACTCTTAATTGGAAAAGTAGGGCGTAAAGACTTAATAAAATCCACAAAGTAATCATGCTCAACAATGTTAAAGGGATACTCATGCATGATGATTGCCATATAGAACTTTTTCAGGCTAACCGTCTCATCATACCTGTATGTCTCAACAGCTCCTGTATGTCTCAACAGCTCTTTCAGTACCATCTTCACTCTTTTTCATCTGTAGTTGTTGTTGACCTGACTTAATGTTGTGCTTGTTATTCAAGTGATTCCAGAAAACAGAAGTGCCACAATTACTCTCACACCGACGTTTATATGAGCACTTGTTGCATTTAGCATACTCCTCTACAATCACAGTGTCATCTGACCCTTTCTTGCTTACCTTATATTTAGTGTAGTGCTGCCAAACTTCAGAACTACACTTCTTTTGCTTCTTACCAGGAGGAGGTAAAACCTCAGAATCATCATTGGTTGTCAAATCAATTGCATCATTGTGTGCCAAGGCACCAGCAGTAGGAGAAGTGTCCTGCGTAGCTGCCGTAGCATGGCTTGGAGGTGCTGGGAGTTGCAAAACTGGAGATGATGCAGTGGTACTTGCAGCTGCACTTGCACTACTTGCACTACCAGACTCCATCACCAATCTAGACACAAAGTAAAAAAAAGCACATCCAAGATCTACATCAGTTTATCGATCTCATGAAAGGCACAAAACAAAGGTTACAGGAGAAGAACAAATCAATGGATTACCTAAGAGATTAGTGCATGCAAGAGGCCTTGCCGCCGGCGGTGGTAACGGCTCCTAGCCTCCCACTGTCCCACGATTTAGGGAGATAGGAAGCAGAAACAAGCACTAGGGGGATTGAAGGCCAATGCCCAGCAACTCCAGCAAGGAGCCAAGGAGATCTAAGACAGCCGCCGCCACTGTCGCCGGCTTGCCGCTGCTGTCGTCACCGCCGCCGCCGCCGTCGCCCATCTGGCAGCTAGGGTTTAGATAGCCGAGAGAAAACTATGTGCTGAAATTGAAGGGATGGGCTGGAGGCTGGAGAGACATCAAGCGTTACGCGGATATCCGCGCATCTTAATCTCCGGGGATATTCGGCTCCGTATTCGTATTCGCCGGAAACTGCGTTACCATATTCGTATCCGTATCCGGAGAAAAAATATCCGTATTCGTATCCGTATTCGAACTATCCGAAAAAAATCCGCTCCGAACACTATCCGTATCCGTTTTTGACCGGAGCGGACGGAAACTATCCGCTCCGTTTTCACCCCTACTACACAGGGATCCTTGTGCTACTAGCGACAGCCAATAGGAGGGCAGTATGTATCACCACTGATCCGTGCCACCACCTAATCGAACCCTCTTAGCCGTCCGATCAAACCAACGGCAATCAAACGACCCCACGTTAAAGGCTCATGAGTAATTAAGTCGGTTCACAAGATGGTAAACCCTCCCTCCTGACTGCCTATAAATTGCCCTCTTTCTCCGTCCGGATCACCAAGAAACAGATCAGTAGTCGGCCATCCCTGAAGAGCAAAGCGGTTACTGCCCTCGAACTGTCAGAGGTACGAGTTATCATCCATTCTTCCGCACACGTTAGCTTCCCAAGATCTCTATAAAGTTTCTCTTGGTGTTTTATATTCTTAGTTCTCAATTCAAATATTATAACAAAATTAGCTTTATTTTGACTTATTGATTATTCAAGCATAGTTGCTTCGTCAATAGCTCTTTGATGTGATGCAAAGTTTCATGCATCTTTTTAATTGTACTAATTTGTAGTCCCTCTATCCAAAATAACTCTACTAGTAAAAAAATAGTATAAAAATGGTGGATAGGTAACTAGACGAAGCGATAGAGGTTCATTTAATTGGCCACAAATAATGAAGACTAAAAATAAACTTATTTTGAAATAGATGGAGTAAATACTTTTGTAGGATTCGCCTTTATCTTTTCTCGACAGGTAATGTGTCCATTCTAATTTTGTGAACGAGTGGCTAATTCCTCCGTATAAAAATATGTGACAATATTGAGTTTACTCGGTTAAACTTCTTAAACTTCAACAATCTAGCTCTCAAATTACTTAGTTTAAAACATAACTAAAAATCATATGGGTAGATTTTTATATTTTTTGCTTTACTTTTATAATATTTTTTGTATTATTATTATTATTATTATTATTATTATTATTATTATTATTATTATTATTATTATTATTATTATTATTATTATTATTATTATTATTATTATTATTATTATGTTTTGATTCAAAAATAGTGGTTAAAGTTGCACGCTAAGTACCAAAAAAAGTTATTTAAATATATAGGGGTAGTATTATTGCGAACATTGCAAGGTCTTGGGATAAGGTTTATAAATTCAGATCTCTCTCGCCATTCTAACTTCACTACTATAAAATCTCTCATATGTATCGGTTCATAAAAACCGATTCATTTAAAACCGACATCTATAAATCTCTTTTCCCCTCCTTTTCCCCTCCGTGCGATGAAAAAAAAGCTTGCTCTCCTTATAAGAGTCTTGAAAGCCGATGTATTACTATTGTATATAGCCAACGTGTGAATAATGTTCTTGTCTATATATGTGTATGCGTGCGCATGGTTTGCTGCAGGATGGCTCGTACTAAGCAGATTGTTCGCAAGTCCACGGGAGGAAAGGCGCCTAGAAAGCAACTCGTCGCTGCTATACATGTACAATATATCCTTCACCTCCACAATACATTATTTAATAGTTTACCGAACATAATTTTTTTTTGCTTCGCTTGCCAACACGTGCGTTGATGTATATATATTACAATCGATCGACATGCAGGCCGCCGCTCGTAAGTCTGCTCCGTGCATTGGAGGAGTTAAGAAGCCACACCGATACCGTCCTGGGACCGTAGCCCTTAGGTATGTAACCTTAGGTATATACATATTCACAATTTTTTTCGTCTAATTTCACGCTGGTTGTTCCTTTATTTCAATAATAGAATTCAATCCAGCATCTCCGCGTTTTCTTTCTGTTGTATCGATCGAACTCTGATGAAGCAAATTGTTTGAGGAAAATTTCAGAGCAATGTTTTCCATACCATCACATGCTTAACCCTCATGAAGACTGAAGTAATTTTGCTCCAACTGCAGGGAGATCCGAAAGTATCAGAAGAACACAGAGCTGCTGATAAGGAAGCTGCCGTTCCAGAGGCTCGTCAGGGAGATCGCACAGCTCTTCAAGGTAACCAAACGTTTAAATTATGTCGATCGATTCATTCTATTCTAAGGATGCTTGTATGTACGTTAATTGATTTTTGCGATGTTTTGGTGGGTGCAGCACGACATGAGGTTCCAGAGCCACGCGGTGCTGGCACTGCAGGAGGCGGCGGAGGCGTACCTGGTGGGTCTGTTCGAGGACACCAACCTCTGCGCCATCCACTCCAAGCGCGTCACCATCATGTCCAAGGACGTTCAGCTTGCCAGGAGGATTCGTGGCGAGAGGCTCTAATTCCACCCAACCTCACACTGCATGGGCCTCTGATTCACATACTGCTGCTATTCGACAACATATATGATACTAGCTTATATCAGTTACGCTAGTTGTTACGCCGCGAACCTAATTGTCGGCCATTAATTTGTTTAGTTTCCGTTCAATATTATAAATACTACTCGTATGCCAAGTTAATTAAGCTACTGGTGTGCAAGTTCTACTTGATGGTATATTCCACAAACTTTAATTTGAAGGCAATTTTGTTGGGACCCCAACTTAATTCCCTCTCCCTCTGCTAGACCAGAATAGGATCATGCTACACAGAATACAAAAATAACACACCACTGTTGGTACTTGATACGCTCACAAATAAATCAGCAAGCGCACGGATTCCATTGTAGCATTTCACCTCAGAGTATTCCAAATGTACTGAATCATGGGGATTCCATTGTAGCACCTTACCTTAGAGTATTCCAAGAGATAAGAGTATTAATTCACAGGGAACATGTGTATAGCGTAAGAATAGTACTTTATCTAAGTACAACAACTAATGGTAGGTTTAGGCCATAGATGATTCCTATGGGTTAATTTACTAAACTATCGATGGCTTCAGGCACCGACTCCCCCGGTCTACCAAGCAGAGTCCGGACTACGGCTCTATAATGTACTTGAACATTGAAGGATATGACTATCACCTCCTGCTGTCTACTTCACTTTCCGTGGAGTACGCAACAAATGAAGATAACCGCTAACCTAGATAGCATGTCTAAGTTATTGATTACTACTCTACTATATTGTGCAGGAACTTCCTTCTTTATTAAGAGTCCTAGTACTAAAGCACTCAATAATAATACTAAGCGAGGAACCCGCAAAGATAGGAATATATGTCACTTAAGCAAATAAATTAAATACCATATAGACGTCTCGAATACTTACTTCATTCAAAGAGCATCCGTCGAGGTACAAGCGAGAGAAGAAAGCCGATAACTTCAGTGCTTCTCCGAAACTCCAGTGGAAGAATGTCGACAAACCCAACATTTGGGACACTCCTTCCGGAGCTCCCCCTCACTCTCTACCTAATTCCACATACTAAAGTGATGCCTAGAATATAAAAATGAGTTGTACTCCACTTTGTTGTGCATTTGGAAAGTGAGTGAGCTTATCCTATTATAGCTTCCAATTATTGTTGGAATGTCGGTTGTGGAGGTCGGTTCATCCACAACCGCCATCACCAACTAATGGGCAGCTGCCATGTGCAAGGAAGCAGCCGGGGCCGCCAAGGCTGGTTCGGCCGAACCACCTCCACCACCTTCGGCCACTAACTTTTCCTAGTAGATTATAGGTTGGCCCCTATGACGGTTGGCAGTGGATTGGCTCAAATTCAGACGATTTAGAATGACATGTGGGCCATCGGATGTAACATAACCAAAAGTGTGTTTCTTAGGTAATTTCCTAAAAGTTTACCACCTAAACCGGAAACCTTAAGCGCGGCCTGTTCACTTTGATGCCAAAAAAATCTTACCAAATTTTGGCAATTTTGGCAACTCGCCAAAATTTTGTTAGGATTTCTTATATAGTTACCAAAATTTGGCTGCAAACTAAATGTAGCCACTTTTTTTTTGTTAACTTTACCAAAATTTGGTAAGGTTGAAAATGGCATCAAAGTGAACATGCCCTTAAAACCTTTCCATTGCAGTTCTAGAATAAAATAAAACATAGAGTGTGCTTGCATTTTTTGCATGATTGTTTTGGTGTGATTTGAGTTCTTTGTGTGTTTTTGGATTTTAAATGCACTTCATAATAGGTCTCGTGTGCATTACTTAAAACTAGAAGCAAATCTATTGTTTCAATATAGTTGGTACACACTAACAATTATTAGAAGCTAAACCTCAACATGCAAGCATACCACATGATCACCCACTAGCAATTACTATTCAAACCCATTTAAAATCCATGCAAGCATGCTACATCTTCACTCACTAACAATTACACATCATTTACAATATTATATTATAGAGATCAACAAGTATGCATCTAATCATCTTCCACACATTATTTTCTCAACATTTCAACTTTCATCATTTCGACAATATTTAACGTATACTCATCCATGAATACTGCAGCAAAGTGCGGAGTATCACATAGTAATTAAAGTAAATGACCCTACATCTAATATGGAAAATCATTTCCTAAAATTATTATGACTTAAAATTACAACATGACATATGTTAGAATCCATCATCTAAATTGGCAATTCACCTGAATACATCTCATGAATACAAAATTATATAATTACATTTACTCATACATAATTCATATTTCACCTTAACCTTTGTTTATTATGACACAAAATATGCATACATGCAACTTATGAAAACATGAAAGATAGAAATCAAGCATAACAACAACATCTAAGGTCATACATAAGCTAGTTATAATTTTATTTAGCATTTAGTTGCATCTTAACAATAAAACATATATGTAATGTCAAGCCTATATAAAATCTTAAAAGTAAGTGGTGCAAGATAAAATCATGTAAAAATTCATACAAATGCTACTCAACCTCTGCAACTCACTGGTATTTTTTTTCATAATTTTATCTCTACATTTAGAACCTCAATTAACTTGGTCAAAGCAGTAAAAAACTAAAAATATAATTTATTCAGAACCTTAGTAGAAGAAATGTGAGGGGCATGATGTGGAGAAAATATGGTTTCTTGAAGTTGAGGAAATGATGCCACTGTCTTGATGACAGCCATGAAGTCTTCTAACTTTGCGGCGGTGGTTTCTGTTTCTCGCAGAACGGGAGATGGAGAAACATGCGTTACTGAGCTGGGGGGCACACTAGTACAAAAACAATTTTTCTGTGCGAGCCAAAACCTACTTTCATGTGTGGAAGCCTGGCCCGTCTGTGCCAAAAGGTCTACGAAATCTGATTTTTCTGTGCGGGTGGTGTACCCGCACGCGAAAATTGGATTTTCGCGTGCGGGTGCTTATGTCGCCCGGAAGGAAAACTAAAAATCCAAAAAAAATATAAAAATAAAAAAAAATCAAAACCCTGGGAATCCGATGGCGGAGGCGCGAATCTGGTCAGCGCACGTGCGCGCTAGGCTGGTGGCGCTGCTCCCGTTCGCCTCTTCCTCATCATCGGCGGGGACGGCGCAGATTCGGCCGTTGTGGGGCCGAGGACCCCGCTCCCGGCCACCTCCTCCTCGGCATCGTCGTCGCCGCGGATCCGCACCTCCCGTTGTCGCCGGCAGAACTGTTGTCATCGTCGCCCTGCCCGAGGCCCGCCGTGGTAGTCCCCGCGGTCGCCGACGACAGCTCCACCCTCCCTGTGGTCGCCGGCTACGGATCCAGCCGCCCGAGGCCCCGCGACGGCGGATCTAACACTGTTTTCGGTGCTACCGTTGACGGGAGACCACTGCTGCCAACCTAGCCGTCGTCATCATCTTCACCCTGCCCGAGGCCGGCCGTCGTCGTCCTTGCAGTTGCCTGCGATGGATCCGCCCTCCCTGTGGTGGCCGGTGATGGATCCACTCTACAAACGGTTGCCGGCGACGGATCCAGCCACTAGAGGCCGAGCCTCTTGCGGATCCCCATCTTCGGATCCGGCGGCCGCACGAGCACCTCTCCACCGCCTTCACAGCCGCACCCGTCGTTGGGTCCGACGCCCGCCACCGCGCCTCTCCATCTCCTGAGCCGTCGCCGTCGGTCGCCGTTGGAAAGTGGGAGAAGGTAGAGGTAAGTTAGTGGTGAGGGATGTCATGTGGGGCCGCACCTATACAAGGAAGGGCCACAAGATCAGGGGCGCTGAAGGCGCGCCGTCGACGCCGTATACGCGATCACGCGCGGCTAAGCAGGATTAGCGCATGGATTTGAAAACAGAAGGATCAATCAGATCCTTAGTAATAGGAATAATTAGTTACAATGATTTGATTAGCGCCAAGAATTAAGGCCCGAGAGCCTACTTAAGTTTTGTATTCAGAATTTGGAAGAAATGGAGTTGATCACAAACTTTCTATTCTTCCTCTTTGCCTCTGTCTATCGGTGCTGAGGGGGAAAACCTCGCCCAACATCACGGCGCGTGGCTACGAACTCTGTAGCCGAGGGCCAGCTACCCTATCACAACTTGGTATCACGATCCAGGCCATCCTTGCCGCGCCGCGCTACACCACCTCCACAGCCACCACGCTCCAGTTCCGCTCCAACGACGCCGTAGCGATCGACCACCATGGGAGACGCAGCTATCCAAGCATCACTGGAAGCCCTCACCGCCACCATCAAGTCGCTGCAAGCCTCCGTCGAGGCAAACTCACAGGCCATTCAACTCCTCAACAATCAGTGCACTGGGTCTACAAGCGGCAGGACAAGCTCGGGCGAACACACCCAAGATCGACCGCCAAGGTTTCAGAAGCTCGACTTTCCGTGGTACGACGGCAAGACTGATCCACTCGCCTTCATCAACCGATGCGAGTCCTACTTCTACCAGCAACACGTCATGGAGGAGGAGAAGGTATGGATGGCTTCGTACAATCTCGAGGATGGTGCGCAAATGTGGTTCATACAAGTCCAGCGAGAGGAAGGCACACCGTCTTGGCGTCGCTTCACCGAGCTACTTCATTTGCGCTATGAACCGCCGCTCCATTCCAACCCCCTGGGCGAACTTGCAGCCTGCAAGCGTACAGGGTCCGTGGTGGAGTACCAGGACCGTTTCGAGGCGCTGCTGCCACGCGCCGGCCACCTCACGGAAGCACAGAAGGTGCAGCTCTTCACCGCTGCACTACAACCTCCGCTCAGCCTCGACGTCGAGATTCACAATCCCAACTCGCTCGCCCACGCCATGAGTTTGGCCCGCAAACTGGAGCTGCGAGCGCAATGCGCCGCACCACCAGTCCGACAACAACGAGATCGGCTCCCACCGCCGGCACCACGTCTCGCCTTGCCTGCGCCAAACGCTCAGCCGCCGACGGCCATCGTGGAAGGCCGTCCTGTCAAGTGCCTGTCACAGACCAAGA